AAGGTCATAGATGACGGTGGTGTTTTTCTATTTGTGACCTAGTTTACTGAGCATGAAGGAGATAATTAGCCACAGGACCTTAGTGTTTTGCTAGAACTGGTTATGTGTTGAACTCTCCTGATCCTTTTTAACAAAAATGATTGTACTATCAACTCTGACACTGGGGAGGTTCTTCATGAGTATGAAGCTATTATTAGCTTCTTGCTATGTCCTAACTTCTGCTAAGAGAAAACATACAAAACTGTGTCTGGTTGAGCTTGGAAAAATTACTAAATTTCTGAGTCTGGTGTTCCTTAACTATAACATAAGGATAATACCTGCTTTCCATGCAGTTTTGTGAATGTGCAGTGCCTGGTTCAATTCCTGGTATGTTGCTGATACAGTATACGTGTTACTAGTGTCATACGTGGTGTACATGATAGTAGCAGCTGATTTTGTTGCCTTCCCTTCTTAGCTCAGACATGATCCTTAGGTTTCGATTTGGTAATCTTTTAAGGAATAAGCAGGCTGTATCATGATGCCTGATTTGAAACACTGTATTTGAACTTCTTTGAGTTCTTTCTTTTTCTTTCTTTCTCTTTTCTTTTCTTTGCTCTTCTTTTCCTTCTCTTTCTTTTTCTTTTCTTTCCTCTTTGTTTCTCTCTTTCCTCTCTTTGTCTCCTCTCCTTCTCTCTTTCTTTCTTTCTTTTTTGAGATAGAGTCTTGCTTTGTCGCCTGGGTTGGAGTGCAGTAGCACAATCTTGGCTCACTGCAACCACTGCTTCCTGTGTTGGAGCTATTCTTCTGCCTCAGCCTCCCGAGTAGCTGGGACTACAAACATGCGCCACCACCATGCTCAGCTAATTTTTGTATTTTTAGTAGAGATGGGGTTTTGCCGCATTGGCCAGGCTGGTCTTGAACGCCTGACCTCAGGCGGTCAGCCCGCCTCTGCCTCCCAAAGTGCTGGGATTACAAGTGTGAGCTACTGCGCCCAGCCTGAAGTATTTTATAACCTTGGAGAACTTGGAATATATAGTTTCTTGGATGTTTTAAAGATTTTTTTTTTATAAGGTACTTTCTGGTAAAAGAAACACTAAATCTTCCATCTGCGTGAACGTGACTTCCCATTTGGGTGGTAGGTTCTGGTAGTTTTGTACCTTTCTTTGGCTTTGGATTGTCATCAGCTGCAGGGCACCAGACTTGTGTGTGAGTTTTTTTTAGTTGGAAAGCAATTCTTGATTGCTAATGATTGTGGTTTTTAAGTGCTAGCCTTTTAGGTTAAGTATCAGAAATAACATTGAATATTTTTTGACTTCTGAATTAATTTTTATAAGTCAATATTTTAGTAGAAATCACTTCAGTTGTTTTTATTGTCTATTTTTCTAAGTTTTAAGCAAAGAGAGCACTTGTGGGGGATGTCTTTTTTTTCTCTGAGAAGTCAGAGAACCTAAGAACTCAATTATTTCCTAACGAGGGAGGTCACTAAAGTTCTGTGTGTCCTCCTTGAAGCTCCCATCCTTTTGGCCACATATAATTAGGGGTTTTCCTGGAGATTTAGAATTGGGACCAAATGACAGCTGGTCTTTAAGCAAATCGCTTAGACTGAAGTGATACAGGCTTTGAACGTACCTGCAGCCATTTTTAGTATTGTGTATAGTGGAATAGGAGAATGCTGGTCTATGGAAAGAAAATGGTGTAGATGGATAGAAAGAAACAAAGATGAAAGTCGGAGAGTATTGTCCCGTATTCGGTGAGGCCCAACTATCATGAATACCATAACATCAGTGATCATACAGTAAGTTACCTTTTTTGTATGAGTTTGCTCAAATTAATTTCTCTTAGTAACAAAAAAACCTCAACTATAGTATCTTAAAACAAAAATAGTTGTGTATGATTATCCACGTACCAAACAATGAAATTAGCTCCCTTTCTTACACCAAGCACAAGTAGATTATAGACCTAAATGTAAGAGCTAAGTTCTATAAAACTTTTAAAAGAAAACATACCAATAAATCTTCATGACTTTTGATTAGGCAGGGGCTTCTTAAATATGACACAAAAAGTTCAAGATAGACAAATTGAACCTCTTCAAAATTAAAAACCTTTGGCCTGGTACAGTGGCTCATGCCTGTAATCTCAGCACCTTGGGAGGCCAAGGCAGGAGAATCACTTGAGGCCAGGAGTTTGAGACCAACCTGAGTAACATAGTGAGACTCCATCTCTATGGAAAAAAAAAAAAAAAATTTTTTTTATCCAGGCATGGTGGTGTGCCTTAGTACTAGCTACACTGGAGGCTGAGGTGAGAAGATGGCTTGAGCAGAAATACAAGGTTATAATGAACTGTAATCATGCCAGTTCACTCCAGCCTGGGTAGCAGAGTGGGAACCTATGTCTTAAAAAAAAATTAAGAACTTTGTGTGCAAAATATGCCATCAAGAGAGTGGAAAACCATGGCCGGACACTGTGGCCTACCCCTTTAATCCCAGCACTTTGGGAGGCCGAGGCAAGCGGATCAGTTGAGGTCAGGAGTTTGAGACCAGCCTGCCAACATGGTGAAACCCCTTCTCTACTAAAAATACAAAAATTAGCTGGGCTTGGTGGTGCATGCCTGTAATCCCACGTACTCGGGAGGCTGAGGCAAGAGAATTGGTTGCAGTGAGCTGAGGTCATGCCACTGCATTCCAGCCTGGGCAACAGAGTGAGACTCTTTGTCTCAAAAAAAAAAAAGAAAGAAAGAAAGTGGAAAAACAGCCTTCAAAATGGGAGAAAATATTCATATAGCATATGTCCGTTAAGAGCCTTGTATCCTGAATATTAAAACAAACAAAAAGCAACATAGCTTTTCAGTGTGCAAATAATCTGAATAGGCTTTTTTTCCAGAGAGGACATACAAATGGCCAGTAAGCACATGTAAAGATGCTCAGCATGATTAGCCGTCAGGGAAATGCAGATGAAAACCACAGTGAGAAACCACTTCACATCCACTAGGAGAACTGTAACTAAAAAGACAGGTAATAACAAGTGTTGTCAAGGCTGTAGAGAACATACGTTGCTGGTGAGAATGTAGAATATAGCTGCTTTGGAAGAGATTGTGCTTGCCTCTCATTTTAAACGTGGGATCCAGCAATTTCACCCTTAGGCATATACCCAAATGAAACAAATGTCCACACAAAAACTAGTACAGCAGTGTTCAAAGCATAATTATTCATAGTAGCCCCAAAGTGGAAATAGCCCAAATTATATCAGCTAGTAAATGAATAAACAAAATGTGATATATCCATAAAGGGAATATTATTTAGCCACAGAAAGGAATGAAGTACTATACATGCTGCAATATGGAGAAACTGTAAAAGACATGCTAAGTGAAAGAAGCCAGACACAAAAGACAACATAATGTGTGATTTTATTTACATGAAATGTTCAGGATAGACAGATTCATAAGAGACAGAAAGTAGATTACTGATTTCCAGGGATTGGGGAGAGGGGAAACAGGAGTGATAGCTAATGGAGATAATGTTTCTTTTTGGAAAGATGGAAGTGCTCTAAGGCTAGATATGTTGATGCTTGTACAACTCTGAACATACTAAAATGCATTGTGTATGGTAAAAGGGTAAATTGTATCGTGAGTTATTTCTCAATAATGCTGTTTTTAAAAGTAAATATATAATGAAGATAATGAAGTTAATATGTTTTCTAATGGTATGATACAGATTTCAAAAATAATCATAATAGGGTTTTTTTGGGGGGGTTTGTTTTTGTTTTTGTTTTTTGTTTTTGTTTTTTTTTTTGAGACACAGTCTCAGTCTGTCACTCAGGCTGGAGTTCAATGGCGTGATCTCAGCTCACTGCAACCTCTGCCTCCTGGGTTCAAGCAATTCTCCTGCCTTAGCCTCCTGAGTAGCTGGGATTACAGATGCACGCCACAATGCTCAGCTAATTTTTATATTTTTAGTAGAGACAGGGTTTCACCACGTTGTTCAGGCTGGTCTCAAATTCCTGACATTGTGATCCACCCACCTTGGCCTCTCAAAGTACTGGGATTACAGGCATGAGCCACCATACCCAGCCATAGCAGATTTCTATATAGGTAACTTAGTTGTAATATATTTTTCGGCTGGGCACAGTGGCTCACGCCTGTAATCCCAGCACACTGGGAGCTGGAGGCAGGCAGATCATGAGGTCAGGAGATAGAGACCATCCTAGCCAACATGGTGAAACCCTGTCTTTACTAAAAATACAAAAATTAGCTGGGTGTGGTGGTATGTGCCTGTAGTCCCAGCTACTCGGGAGGCTGAGGAACGAGAATGGCTTGAACCCAGGAGGCATTGCACTCCCGCCTGGCAACAGTGAGACTTCGTCTAAAAAAAAAATTATTTTTTCATAATAGGTAAAAATTCTGAATATCATATTGCTTCATTTTAAGCAAACTTGAATAAAAATTTATTACTGATTGTGTATTTATCAGTGTGAGTTACAGTAAAAGTTGAAACATACATTGTTCCTAACCTGTCAGTGTCATTGTCATTCTGTTTTTTTGAGGTGAATAGAGACAGTTGTGCCTGGGAGACAGAGTGAGATCCTGTCTCTCAAACAAACCAAAAAAACCAAAAAATGAAAAAACACACAATCAATGACAGAGTTGTTTTTTTTTGTTTTTTGAGAAGTCGTCTTGCTCTGTCACCCACACAGGCTGGAGTACAGTGGCATGATCTTGGCTTACTGCAACCTCCACCTCCCAGGTTCAAGCGATTTCTCTGCCTGAGCTACCCAAGTAGCTGGGATTACAGGCGCATGCAACCATGTCCAGCTAAATTTTGTACTTTTGTATGTATTGCATAACTATAATACAATATCAAAACAGTCCGGGCCAACTTGACTGTTACTGACACGTATTTAGTGCAGATATGTGTCAAATACATTTTTATGTTATAGGTAAGTGTTGTACGGGATAAGATTCAATTTTTTTTGTTTAGCTTGATAGTTACATAATCTTAATATGTAAGCTTTTCCTTATTTTGCAGAGATCCTGCATATTTTGATGAAAATTGGCTAAACAGAATCAAAACTGAAGTAGGAGATAATTGGAGGCTAAAGGTATTTCGTTTTTCCATCTGTTAAATCTTCAAATATTTGTATGTATATAATATCTGTGTTTTTTTGTTTTGTTTTTTGTTTTTTTGGTCTGATGTGTCTAGTGAGCTTTAGAAACTTAGGTAGCCTATAATTGAAATAATGTAGAATTGAAGGTTGAAGTCACCTGGAGTTATGCAGCTAGGCATGACATGAGTCAGTACAGCATGGACTCTGGAGCTAGTGTGCCTGTGTCCACATCATAGCTCTGCCATTTACTGTCCATGGGGAAGTGTTACGACCTTTCTGTGCCTTGGTTTCCCCATTTGTAAAATGGGGATTGATATAGCTTCTACCTCATAGAAATGAGTTAATATTGTGCTAAGTACTTAGAATAGTGCATGTGGTATTTGCTAGTGTTATTTTTAATAGAGATAATATTCATTTCCTTCCTAGTAGCATGAAAGTATTTTACAAGCTTCTTTAACCAAAACTCACAGTAAGAAATAAAGTTTACATTGCAACCAATTGTCCACCTAAATGTATATGTATATATAGCTGAATAGTTTTACCCTTACATTAGGCAGTGATGTTTTAATTTTATTTTTAAAAATATGTGTTGTAATTTACTAAATTATTTTTTTAACTTTGTATTTTGTTGAGATGGAGTCTTCTCTGTCACCTAGGCTGGAGTGCAGTGGCACAATCTTGGCTCACTGCAACCTCTGCCTCCCTGGTTCAAGTGAATCTCCTGCCTCAGCCTCCCAAGCAGCTGGGATTATAGGCGTGTGCCACTATGCCTGGCTAATTTTTATTTTTGTAGAGACAGGTTTCACCATTTTGACCAGGCTGGTCTTGAATTCCTGACCTCAAGTGATTCTCCCACCTTGGCCTCCCAAAGTGCTGGATTTACAAGCGCCAGCCACCATGCCCGTCCTATGTTTTGAAATAATTATAGATTCACAAGAAGTTGCAAAAAAAAATGTACTAAGAGGTTATGTGTATCTTTTGCCCAATTTCTCCAGGGGTTAACATCTTGCATAACTATAATACAATATCAAAACTAGGAAACTGGCATTGGTGCAGTCCATATTTTATTCACATTTCACCAAGGTTACATACACTCTGTGTTGGTGTGTGCACTTCTGTGTAGCTCTTTCTCGTGTAGCTTTGTGTAGCTACCACCACAGTGAAGACCCAGAATTGTTCTGTCACCACACAGTTTCCTTCGCTGCTCCCATAGCCACATTCACACCTAATCCCTTGTAACCCCTAATTTGTTCTCCATCTCTGTGATTTTGTTAACATTAAATTGATTGTTATGACCCAGTAGTCATCATGTTTGGTAGTGTGGAGAAATCTGTGACCATTTCTTTTCTATACAGACTGGTGAAGACTCAGGCATACAACTGATTTAAGCACATGAGGCCCCTGGACTTAAGACGTGCTCAGTTTGAGTTATCTTTATATTTTCACCAAGAAACACATTTGATAAGAAAAGTATTTATTTATTGCTTAAGTATTGGGTTTGCCAAAATCTAATTCCTTCTTTTCACTAAGCTAGTGAATGAAAACTGTTTAATGGCACTGGGTTTTTTTGTTTATTTGTTTTGAGACAGAGTCTCACTGTGTCACCCAGGCTGGAGTGCAGTGGCGCAATCTCGGCTCACTGCCACCTCCACCTCCCGAGTTCAAAAGATTCTCCTGCCTCAGTCTCCTGAGTAACTGGGACTACAGGTGTATGCCATCACACCCAGCTAATTTTTATATTATTTTAGTAGAGATGGGGTTTCACCATGTTGGCTAGGCTGATCTTGAACTCCTAACCTCAGGTGATCTGCCCACCTCAACCTCCCAAAGTGCTGGGATTACAGGGATGAGCCACTGCACCCATCTGACACTGTTTTAATTTCTAAACAATCTTTCAAGGACAGACAGTTTATTTATTTATATTTACTTTTTTGAGATGGGTCTCACTTGGTTGCCCAGGATGGGGTGTAGTGGCACAGTCTCAGTTCACTGCACCCTCCACTTTCTGGGCTCAAGCAAGCCTCCTACCTCAACCTTTCAAGTAGCCAGGACTATAGGCACATGCCAACACACTAGGCTAATTTAAAAAATTTTTTTAGGGACAAGGTCTTGCTCTATTGCCCAGGCTGGTTTCAAACTCCTGGGCTCAAGCCATCCTCCTGCCTCAGCCTCTTGCCTGGCAGGCTGGGCACAGTGGCTTACTCCTGTAATCCCAGCACTTTGGGAGGCCAAGGCAAGGGGTGGATCACTTGAGTTCAGGAGTTGGAGACCAGCCTGGACAACATGGTGAATCCTCATCTCTATTAAAATTACAAAAAATAGCTAGGTGTGGTGGCTGGCACTTGTAATCCCAGCTACTCAGGAGGCTGAGGCACAAGAATTGCTTGAAACCAGGAGGTGGAGATTGCAGTGAGCCGGGATGGTGCCATTGCACTGCAACCTGGGTGATAGAGCGAGACTCAGTGTCAAAAAAAAGATTTTATTTTTAATGTTACAGCATGTTTAAAACAATTTATGATGCTTAAAATAATGCTGCTAATCATTTAGTGTCTGCTTACTGGCTTGATCAGAGGGAGTTTTATATCTCCTCCCAGCAGGCGCACAGATATACACACCCACATATACTGTTTCCAGTGTCATGGGTAAGGGCAATGGTAGTATACGGAGAAGGGTAGAAAAGTTTATCATAGTCTTAATATTCAGGACTGAGCTTCTTATTGTCTGTGCTATACTTTAGTTTTATGGTGCCATTATTATTATTATTATTTTTCGAGACAGAGTTTCGCTCTTGTTACCCAGGCTGGAGTGCAATGGCACGATCTCAGCTCACCGCAACCTCCGCCTCCTGGGTTCAGGCAATTCTCCTGCCTCAGCCTCCTGAGTAGCTGGGATTACAGGCACGCGCCACCATGCCCAGCTAATTTTTTGTATTTTTAGTAGAGACGGGGTTTCACTGTGTTGACCAGGATGGTCTCGATCTCCTGACCTCGTGATCCACCCGCCTCAGCTTCCCAAAGTGCTGGGATTACAGGCTTGAGCCACGGCGCCCGGCTATGGTGCCATTATTTAAAGATGAGATATGCGACCGGGCACGGTGACTCATGCCTGTAATCCCAGCACTTTGGGAGGCCGAGGTGGGCAAATCACCTGAGGTCAGGAATTTGAGACCAGCCTGGCCAACATGGTGAAACTGCATCTCTACTAAAAATACAAAAATTAGCCAGGTGTGGTGGCAGGCACCTGTAATCACAGCTACTGAGGAGGCTGAGGCACAAGAATTGCTTGAACCTGGGAGGTAGAGGTTGCAATGAGTTGAGATTGTACCATTGCACCCCAGCCTGCCTGGGCAACAGAGCCAGACTCCATCTCAAAAAAATAAATAAAGATAAGATACAGCTTTTTGTGATGTGATTTTAAAAACTACCATTTTAAATGAATGGTAGTTGATTTTCAAGGCATTCTAATTGCAAATAGTAAAAATACGGGAAAATAAACATCCTAGTATAAAGCAAATAAAGTATATTATGCATTTTCCATATCTACAAATTTTTCTGGAAGTATAAACATATTAATTTTATGAGGCATTTAAAAATAAATAAGCAAGTTTTTTAGTTTATTTTCTTCCTTACAAATAAATATGCCTTTAATTAACTACTGGATCACATTTCTGTGATCCAGGCTCTTATTTGAAAGCCTCAGTCCCTATTGGCTTCTGTGCTAGGACATCTCAACTACTGACACCAGCCAAGGGCAGCTAGATCAATAAAATAATCAATAGAACTATATCATATACACATTTAACCTAACACAAAACTGTATGAGTTGGGTCAAAGAAAAAGAAAAAAATTGTAGTTTACAGTAAGTAGGGCAAGTGATTCTGACCATCCTTCACCTAACATTATAGCTCATAAATACTTACTTTGATGCTCAACTAAAGAAACAGTAGTTTGTTTTTTTCCTGATAGGTGAAAAATTTAAGGGCATTATACTTAATGGGTTAAAGAGATTTTACTATAATTTTTGCTTAATACTTTGTCTTTAGAACTTAATCTTGGCCGGGCATGATGGCTTATACCTGTAATCCCAGCACTTTGGGAGGCTGAGGTGGGTGGATCACCTGAGGTCAGGCATTCGAGACCAGCCTGACCAACATGGTAAAACCCCATCTCTAAAAAATAAATAAATAAAATAAAAATAACTTAATCTCTATGTAGATACAGTTTGACTTTTCTAGGGAGACTAGCTCTGAACTCAAGTCTTCATTAAGGATGCTATATTTTTACTTTACCCACAGAAAATCTAAATAATTTAATCTTATTGTTTAGTCTCATTCAGTTACCCTCCAGTTGTTGTTAATGTGGTCATAGCATTGAAAATTCTACATAATTGGAGACATAATTTGTTTTATAAATCTCTTGGATTATATAAAGCCATTAATAGTACTTTTGATGATGATAATAACTTAAATATGCCTTTGAATTTTATTTTTTTATATTTACTTTATGACTATAGTGATTGGTTGGGTCGGAAATTTTTTATGTTAAATTATGTTCTGATCTGTCTTTGCTTTTTACCCAGTTGTTTTCTCTCTCTTTAAACAGATAAGCAATTTAAAGAAAATATTAAAAGGAATCTTGGATTATAATCATGAGGTAAAGACTTTTTTCTCATTCTGGTTAAAAGTATTACTATAGGATAGTTTAATTTTAGGATAGTTTCAAGATAAGGAAACATTGCCTTCAAAATTAATAATCAGTTTGTCCTTTATTTTGTAGTTTCTATAATAGGATGATGGTTTAACCAACTTGTCTGTCAGTCAGTTAATAGATGATCCTTTTTACTGTGTTATGGGTAGTTTGTAGATGATTACTAATTAACGTCAAATTTTACTTCATGTGATCTGTTCTGTCTTTTCTTCCCTTACTTATGAAGATAGTTTTTAGAGTCCATGCACCATTGTCTACTTTGATTTTATTCCTTGGCAAACTCCCCGTCCCTAGATGAACTCAGTTTGTCCTCTGAGTCTGCATCAGAACAGTCAGACATTGCTGGGGAAGAAATCAGGCAGTGGAAATAACTAGTTTCAGTTTAAGTTTTATGGTCACAGATGCCAGATGGACACAACACCACACCCTAGTTCTTTCTTTCCTACAAGCTTACCTGCATTTAATACTCATGTCTATACCCGTAGCACTGATCTTCCCCATTTCAGTAAGTGACCCTACCATTCAACCTGCTACCCAAACCCAGAACCTAGAAAGCCTCTTACAGTCCTTCTTTCTTCTAATATCATCCTCAAGACCCATTAGTCAAACCTTCAAAATACAGCTTTCTCCATCTGTGCTGCCACCAACTATGCCAAGCCATCATTCACACTTGCTTAGATTACTAAAGTAGTCTCACTGGTGATCCTGATTTCACTTTTGCATAATTTTTAAAAATTTAGAGGTGATCACATCAGTCTTCTTAAAGTCCTCTGTGGTTTCCCCTTGCATTGAGAATCACATCCACATTCTTACCATGAGCTACTTTATAACTGCTTTTCCCGCATTTAAGGCACTGGAGCCACATTCTCTGCTTCTGTGCGGAGAATCTGCCAAGTCCTTTTCTTCCTCAGCCTTTGCCCCACTGCTCTTGCTGTATGCAGTGTTCTTCCTTCAGCTCCTGGCATTTCTTGCTCTTGCTTATTTGAACTTTCTGTGACGTCCTTAGACTTTTTCTGAGCATGTGCTGTCTCAGCCAGGGCCATATTCACCCCTTAGCCCCATTACTCAGTCACATCACCCAGTTTATTCCCTTTAATCCTGGCCATATCAGCAGTCTCCTTATTCGTTGGTTTATTTGGTTGTCTCACCCTATTATATATATATATACATATGTATATATATATATATATATATATATATTTTTTTTTTTTTTTTTTTTTTTTTTTTTTTTGAGACGGAGTTTTGCTCTTGTTACTCAGGCTGGAGTGCAATGGCGCGATCTCGGCTCACCGCAACCTCCGCCTCCTGGGTTTAGGCAATTCTCCTGCCTCAGCCTCCTGAGTAGCTGGGATTACAGGCATGTGCCACCATGCCCAGCTAATTTTTTGTATTTTTAGTAGAGACGGGGTTTCAGCATGTTGACCAGGATGGTCTCGATCTCTTGACCTCGTGATCCACCCGCCTCGGCCTCCCAAAGTGCTGGGATTACAGGCTTGAGCCACCATGCCCGGCCTCTATTATATTCTTAAAGCCATGAAATGAGGTTGGGGCCAGATCTGATGTAGTCATTGGTACATCCCATCCCCCAAGACAGTGCTGTCACACTGCAGGCATTCAGAGTTTCCTAATCATGTCAAATAAATATTAATTTCCCAAGAAAAAGCATGATATTTAAGATACGTAAGGGTGAACATAGGGTTAGTATTAGACATATTGACAAAAAGTGATTTTTTTTCCTTTGACCAGAAGTACGTATATTTACTAGATCTTTTGAGCTTAGAAGAAGTGATTGTTTTTTGTTCTATAACATCATGCTTATTGTGTAAAATACAAATGGTAATTTTTAATAAAGCATTACAATAAAAAAATAGAAAATGTATGGCATTGAAGATAGTGATGCTGCTTCAGAAGCTGTTTTACAGAGTGCCATTCTGAGCCAGGTCTCTTGCTCAGTGGAAGCTACCCAGAGGAAGTCTGAGCTGTTATCCTTGTCTCATACACAAGAAGCTGAGGCTCGTATGCACCTCCTTCTCTTCCCCTCTTGTAATTTTTCTTTTTTTTTCTCTCCCTCATCCAACCCCCTGACATTTTTGGGTCCTAGGCCTACCGGTATTACCCCACATCCCCTAGCCTGAGCATGCCTGAGAGGAAGAAGAAATCCAGTCTCTGAAAATGGTGTGGTGTCTTTGGAACCTATGCCCTTTTAAAAGGCTAATTATACTTATTACTACATGATTATGAGAAGAGTTGGAGCATGAGTAAAACTAAAATCAGTGTGTGTAGCTGGATTTGCTTAATTTGAGCCTACACTGCCATTTAGTGAGCCCATATCTATGTGATTCAGTATCAGTTCCCCATTTATTCTCATAGCTCAAGGTTCTTTTCCTTCTTGCTCCCTACTATGATTTGTAATTACATATTTCTTTGTGCATTTGCTAATTCATTTTATGTCTTCTATTTAATAAACTAGATGATACTTGCCTATATATTTAAATGTTTTGCAAATCCATAGATCTTTGACACTGTAGTTCTATTCCTAGAAATTGGTCTTCAAGAACTACACATAAGGCTATCCATCTCACCATTACTTCATAGTAGGCAGAAATTGAATATAACCCAATGTCTAACAATAAGAAAATTATGAAACATAGGACAAATGCCATTCAGCCATGAAAATGCATATTTATAAATATTCTTTAATAATATAAAAGTGTGAGATTGTGTATGTTATATACCAGTTTTACAGGAATGTACAGAAATGGACTTATAAAAATGTATATGCAGGTCCATAGTTTCAAATCCCAAATCCTTTAGGCCAGATACATTTTGGAATCCCGAATTTTTTAGATTTTTAGAAAGGTAACATGATGCATACACTACATATTGTGTAAATAACCCAGTGTGGCCTGGGATTGCATCATTATTCCATTATATTAAAATTTCTGCAGCAAACCATAAGGTTATTCACTCTAGGATAAACAAGAAAAATAAATTCATGTTCTGTCATTACCTTTCACCCTCCTGGGAATTCCTTTGTCTTTCTCCTATCTTATTTTATTTATTTTGTTTTGTTTTATTTTATCTTATTTTGTATGGAGTTTCACTCTTGTTGCCCAGGCTGGAGTGCAATGGCATGATTTTGGCCCACTGCAACCCCCGCCTCCCGGGTTCAAGCAGTTCTCCTTCCTCAGCCTCCCGAGTAGCTGGGATTTCAGGCATACATCACCACGCCCGACTAATTTTATATTTTTAGTAGAGACAGGGTTTCTCCATGTTAGTCAGGCTACTCTCAAACTCCTGACCTCAGGTGATCTGCCCACCTTGGCCTCCCAAAGTGCTGGGATTACAGGCATGAGCCACCACACCTGGCCTCTCCTATATAACTTCATTTGCTGAATTCTGTGTATTTCTCTTTTCTGGTTTACTTTCATGCCCATTTTCCAGTGGTATCTTCAGAAGAATATATGATAGGTACTTATTTTAGGCCCCACCAATCTGAAAATAATCTTAGTTCTCTTTACATTGTGGTTGAGTTGGATATGGAATTCCAGGTTGGAGGACATCCCTCTGTATTTTGAAATCATTGCTGCATGCCCTCTGGCTTCCAGTGCTACTCCTGACATCTCTCATGTGGACTCCCACTCGCTGTTGGTAACTTGTTGATTTTCTGGAAGCTTTTAGGTTTTCTTTTTTGTCTCCATGTTCATGCTGGTATGCTTTGGTATGAGGAGGAGTTTTTTTGTTGTTGCATTCCTTTGTTTTATTGTGCTTGGAACTTAGCACATCCTTAAAATCTGAATACCTACTAGCTTTAGTTTTAGGAAATTTTCTTATTATTTATCTTATTTATTTATTTTACTGCTTTATTCTTCTTTCTCTGTTTTCTTTCTGAACTATTTAGCTATTGAACCTCCTAGGTTAATCCTTTGTCTAATCCTTTCCTTTTTTTCTCTCTTGTGTTTTTGCTCTACTTACTGAGATGACTGTACACCTTCTTCTAGCTTGCCTGTTAAATTTTTCATTTCTGCTATCATATTTTTAATTTGGAAGAGCACTTTTATTTTCTGAATGTAACTTTTATATCCTTTGCTTGCTTTATGAATATAATAGTTTCTCTTACCTCTCTGTGAATATTAACCGTAGAAGTTTTTTTACTTTCACATATATTTTTTAAATTATACTTTAAGTTCTGGAATACATGTGCTTAATGTGCAGGTTTGTTACATAGGTATGCATGTGCCATGGTGTTTTGCTGCACCCATCAACCTGTCATCTACATTAGGTATTTCTCCTAATACTGTCCCTCCCCAACTTCCTACCCTGCCAACAGGCCCTGGGGTTTGATGTTCCATCCCTGTGTTCATGTGTTCTCATTGTTCAGCTCCTACTTAAGAGTGAGAACATGCAGTGTTTGGTTTTCTGTTCTTGTATTAGTTTGCTGAGAATGATGGTTTCCAGCTTCACCCATGTCCCTGCAAAGGACATGAACTCATCCTTTTTTATGGTATTCCATGGTGTATATGTGCCACATTTTTTTAATCCAGTCTGTCATTGTTGAACATTTGGGTTGGTTCCAAGTCTTTGCTATTGTGAGTAGTGCTGCAGTAAACATACATGTGCATGTGTCTTTATAGTAGAATGATTTATAATATTTTGGGTATATATCCAGTAATGGGATTGCTGGGTCAAATGGTATTTTTGGTTCTGGATCCTTGAGGAATCACCACATTGTCTTCCACAATGGTTGAACTAATTTACGCTCCCACCAACAGTATAAAAGAGTTCCTATTTCTCCACATCCTCTCCAGCATCTGTTGTCTCCAGACTTTTTAATGATTGCCATTCTAACTGGTGTGAGATGGTATCTCATTGTGGTTTTGATTTGCATTTATCTAATGACCAGTGATGGTGAGCTTTTTTTCATATGTTTGTTGGCTGCATAAATG